GAATTTAGACAAAGTTGTATAATTTCAAAGCAGCAATTATAAATGGACAGGTACGATGTTTTATTGATACACATTTCAGCGTCGTAAAGAAGCTCACAAATAGAAAAAAATTTGAAAACGAGAGATACCCTTTCTGCGACTCTAATATGTAAAGATGTAATTTGCTACCAAACGAGTAAAATAAAAAAATGTTGTGCATGTTTTCTGTACAAGATAATTTGAATTTATATTGAGAAATTTAATGCGAAAAATGCATATTACTTAAGAGGCCATTTCGTACAGAATATACGTTTTGTAGGCAGTCAGAATTATGCTCGTTCGAAAGCCGGAATCCTAATATTACTGAGATACATGGAGATAAGGCTGAGATTGTAATTACTAAAAGACATATTTCAGAATTTTGGTTGACAATTCGGCAAAAGCAGCTTATGTAGTCCCCCTCAAAAATCCCTTCTTCCAGCATGTTGTCCTACAAAAACAGTAGTCATAGTGTTTTGTGGGTGGGGAAATAGGATACACAGTGAAATATATTTTGATAACTGCTCTATGCATTTTTACTTTATTGTTGTTGATTTATATTTGCAGATTTCGCTAATCTATATTATCGTTTAACGTATTGCGGAAAAACCCGATTACCAAATTGCAAATCACTTGAAATTCCCAAAAAGTAGAAATGGTGCTTCGGAGGTCGTTACTTCAACTTACCTGAGGTCTAACTTACCGTTCTAGAGTTAGATTAGTACAGCCCGTGGCGCGAAGCGCCGCGCACACCTTGAAAGTACATGCGAAACAACTTACTCCCAACGGCCGCGGCAAACGACTTCGACTACATTTTTTCACTCTACACTTACTTCTAAAAATTTCCTTCTTTGCCTTTCCTATTTCCCCATCCCCGAAACCCTATAAACACCGTTTTCGTGGGACAAAATGCTAGGACTAGGGAGTATAGGAGTGGGACTACATAAGCTACTTTTGCCGGCAATTCATGAGATAGGGCATTTACTGCAAGCGTGGACTAGGTTGGGTCCCATACTCCACCATCACAGACGTGCACCCGAAAGCCTCCCAGCCAATAATTTTTACGCCCTCCGTCCCTTTACTCGGGGCATCCTATCCTTACGCACCCAACCAAGTGTATCACAGAGATACCAGGGACAGCGATTGCTGATGTTAGGAGCAGCCTTAACGGACAGCCAGCAGACAGACAAGAAGCCACGCTCACGGCAGGCTACCGATTCACCTACACGCGGCGAACGCAGACTGGCAATCAATTAACAATTTAAAGCTGCGACCAGGCTAAAAATCTGACAAGCTAACCGTTGAGTCACATGCCGATCGTGTCGCTTATCGCGACAGGATGGTATCTGACTGGTTAAGAGACGTTTGCTTTTTGCTCTTCTTGCCATATTCTTCCTTGGGAGCTCACACAAGGCGTAATTAGGCGGTGGCATCTCAGCTTTGGCTACATTTACAACAGGTGATATGTTGAAATCAAGAGCTGCTGAGAGTGGTGATGCAAAGGTATACACTTACTTGTAGTTAAATTTACTAATGGTTGCCGACATATGCGTGGGTACTTCATCACACATGTACAGATTCCTGTCATCCTCAGGCAGCAGGTCCACGTCATGGAAAATGAGACAGGCGTAGTTGAGTCTCTTCATGGCCTCAATGAAGCCCACGTTGAGAAGGGAGGCACGATTAAACGGCGTTTGTCCTCTCTGAAATAACAAATTTAAACGGACGGAAACAATGATGGTGACGTAGCAGAAGAAAAACTGATTTATTAGGCAGGGTTTGGCAGATTTGGGTACTTCAATTGTGAAACTTTTTCGGCGGCCTCGATGAGACTCCAAAGCCATGCCAGCTAGGGAAAGCGGCAAAAGTAGCTTAGATAGCCCTACTCATATACCCCTAGTCCAAGCATCTGTCCTGCAAAAACTGTGTTTATAGAATTTTGTGGGGTGAGGAAATAGGGTAGGCAGAGAAGGAAATATTTAGAAGTAAGTGTAAAGTGAAAAAATGTAGTC